GGTTATGTACAAGATAGGGACTGTAGGTTTGTTCTTAAGTTGAATCTGTATGTAAGTCGGACCGGGCACCCAGATCCAGCCGCTGCTGAAACTGATCAGCAGCTGATTCCAGGAAGCCCGGGGCAGAACAGCTCTGCCTCGGGCTTCCTGGAGTCAGCCACTGGTCAGTATCAGCAGTGGCTGACTCGAGGACACCTGGGGTAGAGCAGCTGGGGTGCTGTCAGGTTGGTCCAGTAGGACCGCACCTCGACGCTGTGGGACCAACCTGGCAGCCCCCCAGTTGCTCTGCCCCAGGCGTCCTGATTCAGCCGCTGCTGTGAGTTCAACTGTATGTCAAATCTCTAAGTCATTTTTAATATCCCTATCACTACACAGGCATTTGATATATTCAATGCACTCCAATGGTTTCTCAGATTTGGGTAGGAATATTTTAATCTTTTCAAACAGATGTTACCATTGTCTTTGAATGGGATATCTTTAGTTCTAACCTCTGCTTCCACTGCTACGCTTTCTAGCAATTTTGCATCTCTTCTTGTGATAATCCAATCAGGTCAATATTACTAATGAAACACAGATGACTAATCTTTTAAGCCAGCAATGGACACATCTATCAGTGTCTCTTAGTATTTTCTTCAAAATAAAGGTTGAAGAAGGTTCATGATAACAAGCATTCTGACTGGCACTTGCCCTCTATTCAAACTAACTATTTTGCTTATGCCCCAAACACAAAAGATTATATGCTTCCATGTAGGTTTATCTTTACCCTTATTAAATTTTCACCAATTCTGGTCTGCCATATGATTTCCCAAAGAGGTTCGTCCTGTCAAAGAGGCTGTCAAACATCGTAGCAAAATTCACAAAAAATGTCCACTATTCTACACCACACTAATATAGCACATGGGGATTGAACATTTGCTTCACTGTACACCTCTATCTTGGCTACAATTCTCTTTGGTATGATATGCAGCAGTATTTTGCTAGGTGTATCAATGACATTTCCTCAAACAGCTGGGTCTCCCCTTTTATGAACAGGAACCATCAGTCCAAGTTTTGAGCCATCTTTCAGACTCCCAAATCACAACAAGTTTATGGTATGCCTGGATAAGCACCTCTCCTCCACTGTTGATTAATTCTGCTTGTATTTGTTATGCACGCCAGAGGTTTTACTGCTTTTCAGTGTCTACACTGTCAGCCTTTTTAGGTGTAGGTTCATTGGGATAAGTTGAGCTTTCTTGTATAGAACCCTTAATGTGTTTCACTCATATTACAGAGTTCTTCTTGACAATATCCATCTCAATTACTGGATGAAGGCAATTTTCCTGAAAAGAATATTTTCACAAAAGAGTCTTAATTATTTGATAGGCCTTCTTAGTAGTATTTGCCACAAAAGGATTCTGTATGTTGATGCACTGTTCTTCAAGCCAAGTTTCTTTTGTCACTTTAATCGGTGAATCAGTGACTCTTTTGCCACATTTATTGTTATATGGGAATATTGCTCTCATCAGTCTTCCTTTTTGTTCTTAGTTTCCTTCAACAATCACACAATTCAATAATCTTTGATCTAGCTTGGATTTGAATTTCTGGGGAAACATCCATTGTCTCCAATGAAGCAGGAAATGTTGCATTCTATCTGATGAATGATACCAATGGAGAGTTCAGCAGCTTTTGTTCAATTATCTTCTTGATTTCCACTTGCTTTGCGGACTTTAAGTCTGCCAATCTTATAACAGACTCAGAAAGTACTTGTTTTAGGCAAACCTGAAGAAGAGTTTTGTGAGGCGAGAACCTTTTTTGAGACGGCGTCACTAATGTACAGAAAAATCAATCAGGGGCCTCATACAAGTTAGAAGCAAAAAAACCCCTCAACTGAGGAGAAAGACACTTCCCACATTCCCCTGCACACCAAAGCCTAGGGGGGGTGCCCAGGCTAGTAGATTTTGCGTGGTCCAGACCCATGAAGGGATGTGGGGCTGGAGTTCCAGCATGGGCTCCCCATTGCTGGGGAAGGGAAAGCCCTGAGCCCCAGGTTCCCCATCTCTGCTCTAAAGCTTGCCTCTTTCACCAAAAGAAGTTGGTCCAATAAAATGTATCTCTGTACCTCTATGAATACAGAGCTCAGTTTTGGTAGAGAACCTCAAGTATAATTTTCCAATTTGTAGAATTAGTTATAAACTATCTCAACATGTATCTATGTAAGTAACAGTTTTCCCACTTTTTTGTATATTATACATAAGATGAGACCTTTTTGCCAAACAGATCTTCAATAAATGTTTTAAAGGCTATTATGCTGCATGTGCAAATGTCTCCTTTTGAAGCCCTAAGGGATAAAAATAAGAGGAATACATGTTGCCTCATAACTATGTTATCTAAGTTCTTAGACCTACACACACAATTAAATCAAAGGGATTTGTCCCTCCACACAACCTCAATTCAGTACTTCAAGGACTGATAGAAGGTCCCTCTTCGCCCCTTCATTCTGTTCATATATATTTTCTCTTTAAAATGAGTGGTCGTAATTACTTTACACTGTTGGCAAGAAGAATAGAGGATGCTGGAAGTTTGATCCATTCAAGAAGCTTTCATACAGTTTCACTGGGACTAAGTGGTTTGTTAAAAAAAAAATCTTCAGGACTAGGTTTCCTTGTAACTCAGGAATTAATATTTCAGTTTAGAGATTTTCACATTTTGTTGTAAACCTCAAATAGTTATAGAATGCGATCACAACATTTATTTTAAAATAGCACATTATTTGCAGATTCAGTAAAAGGGTGGTTTATTTTGGGCTGCTAAGTATGGAATGAGTTTCTAAAAGTCAATGAGTTTGTTAGATTGCTTATATAAAAGAAACAGCTGACTCTTGGTTTTAGCTATATTTCTCTTTCTGATAGATTTTATTCTAATTAAGGTCATATTTGTTTCCTGGGCTCTGAAATTATAGGCTTTTTTAAAAACATAGGAACGGTTACCTGGAATCAAGTTTTTTTTTTTTTTTTTTTTTTAAAGCCTCAGCATTTGGATGTTTGGTCAACAACAGTTAAGGCAACATTCCTCAAGAAGGTACACTCAAGAAACCATATATTAGCCCATCCCATTGATAGAACACAAATTACCCTCGCCCGAATAAAAAAGGAGATTAGTTGCACTCAGAAGATCTACAGACTAACATTAAAGCCTCTACTAACACCAATTTATTGTATGCTAGGTTTCCCTTTTCCTGTCAGTGCAAATATGAACTTAATGGTTCCTGACTGATACAAAACTCATGGCAACCAAATTTGCAGCTACAATCTCTTTCCACTGTAGCCACTTAAGTGCATATGTATAATCACAATACTACTTTTTAATTAAATACAACTAAATTGAAATACAGATGCATTACATGAAATTTCTCTGCTAAATATAACCTGACGTCTCACTCTGGACTCAGTAACATTATTCTATTGAAGATTATGATATTTTATAACCTAGTCACTATTTCCTGCAGAGGAAAAAGCATACATCATTATATATTAATAACTTTTTGAAACTGACCTGTCTACTTCATCGCGAGCAACAATGTCTCCTTTCTTTAATGCTTTAATAGCAAACATCTCATTTGTGTTTTTGTATTCAGCCAGCAGCACCTAAAAAGAGAAGATAAATGGTTTATTCAAACAGGTGAGTTTTTGGTTTTTGAATGCACCTCTAGTTATAAAAAAAAAAAAAAAAAAATTACCTTTCCAAAATGGCCTCTACCTAGTACAGCACAACACCTAAAATCTTGCAGACTAAATTGAAATCTTTGTGTTCTGTAAAACAGCAATGAATATAAAAAGTTACAGGAAAAAAAAAACAAGTTAGGGTTATCAAAAAACCAGAACACTGGGTTTGTTCTTTTTTTGTTTGTTTTTACCTTTTGTCTTCTGGCTCTCGTATATTTGTACACTTTATGTCTCTGTGTTGAATTTCAGGCTCACAAATGATTTCAGATTGGAGTTTTGTAACAGTTATCTCTCTCTCATTTTCAAAATCAAAAGCAGTTTCTGCATCCTATGAAAGAGGGAGAAAAAACAGAAATCTAAAGACTTAGAAAATTAGACTGCTGAAGAATGAAGAAATCTAGTATATTTAAGGAAACTGAAGTAAAAAAAATACTGCTAAACTTCAGTGTGAAATTCAAAGTATCAATTAGCCTAAAATGCTATATTTACTGACAGCCTCTTAAATCCTATTCTTTAAAAATCATTCCAATCTTTATGGATACTAACAAACACTTTTCTATAAATTGAAGGAGTATGGTTTTTGGGCCCATAAAGCAACCAATAGGAAAATACTCAAACCACAGAAAAAAAGACCAATCTCCATAACCAGTATAAAAACAAATCATGTGCAATTATGTACAACAAGAGTCTCAAACTCATGGCCCCGGGAAGGGGCAGGGTTTGAGAGACAGGAACAGATAGTTCCCTCAACCTGCGAGGAGTCTGGGGCTGAATTGTGTAACTTCTCCAGCCAGGGATGGCCCATGGGCCGTGAGTTTGAGATCCCTGATGTGTATATGAAATTGGACACATTTTAATATTCTGTATTTAAAGTAAGAGGAAATACAATATTATGTAGTTGCAATGAGTTTAACACAGATATTAAATATTCAATTAAAATGTGACATGTTCTATGCAACACTTTAAGACTAGCTTAAATGTCTTGCCTGATTGGGTGTATCCGGTGCCTTTATTTCAGATGAAGATTCACATATTTCTCCAAGAGATGACGCACGGGGTGGAACAGATGGAGGTTCAGGTTCAAGTTCGAAGTCCAATTTGGCTACAGGAGAGTCACTTATGGGGAAAAAAAACCACACACGCACACACACACACACAGAGAGAGTACAATGAAGGCTATTTTATAGGATTAAAATACATACAGAAACCAGTTTAATGTTTTTAGAAAAATCTTATTTTCCCTTTAAAAATGTAGCAAAATGGATGTCCAACTAGAAAATGTCAAGGTTTTAAACTGCACAGACTCAATAAGGAAGGTTTTTCATTTACACGAATAAATAAAAACCGCACCATTACTTTTGTATGTAAATTTGGCTTAAAAAAAAAAAAAGATTTACCTAGCTAGCCGTGCTAGTTCAGGAATGCATGTATCAACCACTGGCACTGTAGCAGGCACAGAAGCTTGAGGGCTGAAGGTACCAGAATGATTTACTGTAGGAATAGCTCTTCTCACCAGCCTCCCCCAAGTGGCAATATTAATATTCATTTGAGGGGCTCTGAGAAATGTTTTGCCTGTAGATATTGTGAATAAAGAAAATAGAGTGCAAGTAATTTCTTTACATATTACCAAAAGCTATAATTAAAATTCATCAACTTATAATTTATGGAGAACAAACTGAATTTGTCATGTTCTTTAGCAATTTTCAACTATTCACCATTAAATGCAACTACGTAATATACAATTCTAAGCAAAGATTTTTGAATGTAATATTAAAGATTTAACTATCAGCAACTTTATTTGCAATTTCATTTTAGGACTGTACATAAAACATGGCAAACCTGTACAATATTTTATAATTTAATTGTAATGCCTAATAAATTGTTACCTTGCTGTTTTGAAAAAATTTTCTTTTGTCTCTGGAGTTTTGGTCTTCTTTCAATAACTGGATTAAAAAATGTAACCTGCAGTTCAGATAATTTGTATATTATAATTCCACTTCCAGAAAATAATGCATTCTTAAGAGTTTATTAAAAGCCATCTAAAATATTCTGCCATTTAATTATTTCAAATGTGGCTGACTTTTTGCATTACGTGCTCTTACCTCTGCAAATAGAGTACCCTGTGGCTCAAGATAGAGACACATGCCATGTCGCTGGTTATCTAAGAAATCTTCTAACCTCAGAAACTTCACTGCGCATAGAGACCTCCAATCACGCCAAAAAACTGAAATCTCTAATTCACGTGACTATAACAGTAAACAGAAGAAGGATTACTTATGAATTTGCAATCAAACTTATATGATCCAGCCCCTCTGATGTTGAGATGGATACTGTATACAAAAGCTGCAGGAGCATGCTCACATTAGGATGATGTAATTAGCTCAGTCTACATAAGGGAGTTCACCCTTCCACTCTAAGGCTATGTCTACACTGCGCAGCTATTTCAGGATACTTGTAGTATCCTAAAATAGCCATTTCATATCTTTTGAGCAAGCCCGTTATTTTGAAATATAAGAGGCTCACTATTCCAACGTCCCTGTAAACCTCATTCCATGAGAAGGAAGGGACGTTTCAGAATAGTGTTCTATTTCAAAATTTGATGTAGATAGCTTTTTTTGAAATTTGGCGCTATTTCGAAATTAACTTGAAATAAGCTATGCAATTTGAATGAGGACAGCCAGCCAAATGTCCTTTAAGGGATTTGAGTAGTCATGAATAGGAACTAGGACACTGTCGTGTGTCTTCTAGATGTCAAAAAAGGAACTGGATGCAGCAGGTGCTGAAACCCATGTCTGAAACTAAAGAGTCAGCCTTTTCCCCTATCAGTTCTTGAAAGTGCTCCTGATGAACAAAGTCCCAATCTATCCATCAGGGGATGGATGTACAATTGGTATAGTCCTGTATAGGGTACACCACCACTTTTCCCCGAAGAAGCTTCCTCACCATTGTCATAAGCATGTTACTCTTCTTGAGGTACAAAGATGATGGTGCTGACTGTTACTGCTCACAGCTATTCCAACTCAGACATGGCTGTCCTCAAGGGCAGCAGTGCCAGAGATGAGGATAAACTGAGAAAACTGCTCCTTTGACAGGAAAGGTATCAGTGTCAATGTGATTGCAAGTGTCCTTGCTAGTTTCCAAGCAAAATCTTCACTGATGCCTGAATGGTAGGCCCATACCTAGTGTTGAAGGGTGCCCTTGTATGAAGTCTTTCCATGCAGACAGGGCTTTTGGTAGATAAAGCCAGGTAGGCTTCCTGCAGCAAATCAAAGGAGACTGAACAACTGAGGCTCCCATGCTCAAGAATACTGTGGGGGGGATACCAACAATGAATATGATTCTGCAAAGCCAGGCAGAGACATAGCCAAAAGCTCTGACAGATGCCACCAGTATCAAGAGGGAAAGTTGACAGTGTGGGGGATATGGGCTCCATTGAGGAATCCAGATCATTTGGCACCACTGCCGTAAGACGGACGGATGTGTGCCAAGGGCATCATCAAGATAGGCAAGGAAACCCTGAAGGGATGTGTGCACCAGTGGATTAGAGGGAAAATGACAGTCTCCTTCTCCTTAGGCTCCTTTCCAGAATCAGAATGCTTTCTCTTTTCCTTCCTCCAGGCCCATCCCTATGATTTATGGGGACCTATGCAGTTTTATTAAACTGGTGTCCCTATGCTCCACTGAAGGCAGTCCCCAGCTGGTGTTGCTGACCCCAACTGAGGGGGTGCAGCCACTCTGCCTTCAACCCCAGAATCTCCTTCCCACTGACGACATACGCCAAGCTTCATATGTAGCAGACACTGAGCAGTGGCTCAAAGCAGGCTTTGAACTGCCACGTAGAGTTGTATCTTGCCAGAGTCCACTCCCCTCCTGCAGCCCCTAACCACTCCCGGCTCACCACAGCATTCGGACAAATACCACCAAACAATAACACCAGAATTGTGTGTGTGAATGAGATAGAACCTGTGTCCATGTGACTGTGTGTTGGAGGATTGCATGCTGTGTGTTAGGAAATGTGAGACTATGTGTGAGAGAATTGGGGGAGGAAGGGAGGAGGGCGAGGAACTGAGAGCAACTCTTGAAATGCACAGTGCATGTGGGCACAAAAGCAATAGAGCAAGAGAGAGAGTGTGTGTATGTATATATGTGAGTTACAGTGAATCACTGTCACTAACTTTCCTCCTGCTTCCCTCTCCCCACATAAAAGTTTTGCTCCTCCTGTCCTTGGCCCCTCATATAGCTATTTCAGAGCATGCAGCGTGGATTGTCCCAAAAGGGGGCAAATCTAATTGTTTTTTTAATAGGAAAAAAATTGATTTTAACTTCAGAGAGTGGGCATCACAAATCATGAAAATTGGGGACCCCCTTTGGAATACATCTCACATGGAACATTTGAGGTAAAATCAGCCTGAATATTCAGCCCAAAGAAATGTGAAGCACACAGTTCTGTTCTATACTTGTATCCTAAGAATTACCTATGGGAGATAAAATTTATCTGAGACTTTACAAGTTTCCACATTTGAACTGTATAACATAATATGTGCATTACAGTTCCATACATGTCAAGCAAAACTGTCAGTCTTGTTCATTTCCCTAAATCATGTATAATCTAAACAAAACATCCATCACTTGGAGCTAGGATGAGGCTAAATATTTGTTCACCACAACTAGATTTGAACTAGATCAAAGCTGAGATTTCTAGAACATTAACCCTCTAACATTTTATTCCAAGAAACTGCTTCCATGAAGAACAGGAATACATATATGCACGGAATCTGAATAGGTTCATAGCCATTGTAAAGAACAGACACAGAGAAACATGAAATTAATCTACGAACTGACAATCTCCATCAATGGAAACAGTACAGTGTCCTACCCTGTCTAGTTCCAGTGTAAACTTCTGATCCCATGACTGATTGGAAATAGGTTTCCAGCTAGTTTGACCAACCACAGTGTTGTCCAGCTTCAATACAGCACAGACTTCATCTGTAAGTAAGTTACACAAACTTAGCTTAAAACTCTAAGAGGATTTTCCACAAACAAAAAAACTACAGTTACTGACTTACTAAAAAATACAATTATATCCACATGAACCAATTACATTCAGGATAAAGAATTTTTGATCCATCAATGTATCCAGTGAAGAGCTAGACCATTTTTCAAGTTTGAAATTAATTTCTTAGTTATACAAGGTCACAGTATTCAAATGAAAAACAAATATAAAAATGCACTTCTCTCAAAAACCATGTATGTGGTTAATAAATCTGATGAAATTTTCAATTCCCTACCTCTCCTCCCTTTCCTCACTCATCTTGTACCATAGTAACAATCCCACCAAGAACCCCTTCTAAACCTTTAGTAAGATTTAAAATAATTTGTTTACTGGCATCTTTCTAGCTGAGGAATATGCCTAACAGGACAGATAGTAATTGCTTGAGGGTTAGCTGTAATAAAGATACGGTCACTGATCAAGTTTTACACCTGCAAATCTTTTTAAAACAATTCACTTTTTCTGAGAATTTCAATTAGACTGTTTAAAAAATAAAAAGGATACTAAACTGGACAAGTCATCTGTTTTCAGAAGGTTTCGACTACTTCCACTTTTACTTTTGCTTGTTCTGCTCATGAAAGATGATCTGGCATCACTTGGACTCCAACCAGGTAGAGTAATTGACGTGGCTTTTGATCGGCCAGGGACATTTTCCAAAATATCTTGGCAGCCCATGAGCCTTACTTCTAAAGTACCTGAAACAAGTAAAAACCATTACTTTTGTCACATGCTAAGTTCTTATGTGTACATAGTACAATGACCAGTGAATGATTTCATATTAGCATCTTACGTACACAGAGCTTACTGAGTAATAAAATTTGCCGATATGTGCTTCAGTTAAATGATGAGAGACTCAAGATAGCATTGTTTATTGGAATGAAAGCTACTGAAATTAAAGAAGTAAAGATTAAACAAATATGGAATCAAACACCAGTAGGAGTTACAATTCAGAAGTACAGCACAAAACAATTTTAAAACTACCTATTCTGTTATATTTATAGGTAAACATCTCAATTCTTAATATTTAAGCAAAAAATGAACAGAATGATATCATCGATAGGGAAGAGGAGAAACTCAACTGAAATTTAAAGAAAAGGCAACTTCTCACAAATGACGGCTAATATTAGATTTAGGTAACAGATACAATGAAATCTACTCTACACCAGTAATTCCCAAACTTAGAGGCACAACCCAGTACTAGGTTACAAGACAGTCAGCAGCCAGAGCTCCTCAGAACTGTATGCAGAGCTCTGTAGTGAGGGTGAGAAGAGGGAGTTCCCTAGCATCCACTCAGGGAACTCTGCAGGGGCAGCAGGGGGAGTGGGTCTAAAAAGATGCAATTATTGGGTCATGGGCATAAAGGATTTTTCCCAACTGGGTCACAAGAAAAAAAAAGTGTAAAAGCCACTGCTCTACACTAACAGGCATTCTTCAGAAAGTAAACTTCTCACATTTTTATTGAACAAGGTATATGTATCAAAGCATGGAAAGAAGTATGGATTGGATAAATGGATCGCCAGGTGGACAGAAAGCTGGCTAGATCGTCAGGCCCAATGGGTAGTGATCAATGGCTCCATGTCTGGTTGGCGATCAATATCAAGTGGAGTGCCCCAAGGGTCAGTTCTAGAGCTGGTTTTGTTCAACATCTTTATTAATGACCTGGCTGAGGGGATGGATTGCATGCTCAGCAGCCACGTAGAGGACACTAAGCTAGGGGGAGAGGTAGAAATGCTGGAAGGTAGGGTAGGGTCCAGAGTGATCTAAGCAAATTGGAGGATTGGGCCAAAAGAAATCTGATAAGGTTCAACAAGGACAAGCGCAGAATCTTGCACTTGGGATGGAAGAATCTCAAGCATTGTTACAGGGTGGGGATCAACCGCACTTAGGCAGAAAAGGACCTGGGGGTTACAGTGGATAAGAAGCTGGATATGAGTCAACAGTGTGTCCTTCTAGCTAAGACGATGAATGGCATATTGGAATGCATTAGTAGGAACATTGCCAGAAAATCTAGGGAAATGATTATTCCCCTTTCTTCTGTACTGGTGAGACCACATCTGGAGTACTGTGTCCAATTCTGGACTTTCCCCCTCACCCATTACAGAAAAAAAGAGTCTTCTATAGTGTAACATTTTTTCAAGTTGTACCTCTAAACTGGGACTCTCTGGCAACATTTCATGGATGCCAGAGTCTCAGTGGAGGGCTGGTGGCTGGGCTCCCTATAGTGGGGCTGGCAGCCCACGTGCCAGGAGCTGGGCTGGAGCTGGGCTGCTCGGCATAGCAAGGACAGGGTGCGGAGAAATGGGACTAGCAGGGCAGTGGGGCCAGTGTTGGGGGGAGGGGGAGAAGGAAGCCGTCCAAGCCAGGGCTGGGGGACAGGTAGCAGGGGAACCAGATGTGACCTTCCCTGATCCAGCAAGATTCCTCATCTGGGACCAGTCAGGTCCTGAGGGTGCTGGACTAGGAAGGTTCATCCTGATCATTTAGTCTGACTTCCTGAACATTGTAGGTCACAGAACCTCAACCAATCAATCCTGTATTGAATTTATAATGTCTCACTGAGTTACTGAAGTCCTCTAATCATGATTTAAAGACTTCAATTATATATAATCCATCATTTACACTAATTTAAAACCGAGCCACTATGCTGCAGAGGAAGGCAACCTACTCACCCTCCCCCACATCTCAGCCAATCTGACCTAATCTTTGAAGGCAAAATCTCCAGGACTACAGAGATCTAGTGGTACTTGTCTCAAGTCTCAACAAGTCAGTGATGGCACATTCCACTGCCTGGGAGCAAATAAACCTCAAGAAACTGTCCAAATAACCATTAGATTAGTTAGGAAATGAATAGATACCCTACCTACTAAATGAGTCTGTTCCCATGGAGAACAAAATTTTTATTCAAGGTTATTCCCAAGCACTAATGTGATAGTTCACTTAAAACAAAAATAAGCATTTGATTTCCTTTGTTGCACTTCAGTGTCTCACATTTTTTGGGGGGGGAGGGAGAAGAGAGAGGGGAGTAAGACTGCAGCTTTTAGGTAACCCCTTGGAATGGGCCATCCTGGGCAAAAAAAACACAAGACAACCATTGCTAATGGCTACTCCACACCAAAGGATTGCATTTAAACATTGTAACAGATAAAATAGGCATCTTAAAAACATAACCTGGCACAGAGACGAGTCAGCAAAAGACCCCCACTGCATCAGTCAGTATTCATTGGTGTGGCATCTTGACAGGTCTCCTGCTCTAGGATAACCGTTCACCTTTGTGCGTTCCTGCATTTGCCCCCATTTACTATATTGACCACGCACAATTAGTCAACACAGCAGACTCCGAGAGAGCCCCCAAAGACCGCAGGACCACACAAGGACCAAAGGCACTCAGCCATGTTCATTATAGACAAGGCATGGTCCTAGCTTCCCCAGACCAAAGAATTTACAGTTAGGCTAACATATGTATGCCCATTACAGTGAACCAACTCAGCCAGTGCCAGGGACAAGACACTGTCCCCTAGGCCAGCCAAAGACAACTCTTTGGGGTTCACTTTTATATACAGGTATAAACAAGTTACACATCCTGATGTATGAGGCTGCCACCCTCTGACGTTAACTAGATTCACCCATTACCTTGTACATGGGGGTTCAATTACTATCATGTGGTCAGTTTAGAGCCTGTCCTTAACCTGGGACAGTATGCCTGCTCTTTGTGTGGAGAAGGTTGGTACCGAAGTGTTTCTGAACAAGCTGGTCTGTTACAACCCCTCTGGAATGTGCTTACAGCCTGTGCCTAGTACCATAGATATGAGTGTTTCTGTACTATCATCCCTGTCTGAGAGCAGGAGCCTACCTCTTGCTCACAGCTTCACTTTGCCTTATATTAACAAAGTCCTGACCATTGCTGTCTATGTCTCAGGCCATACACCAGGCCTGTGATATGTGATCTTATATTTTAGGGCTTCATTTTACTACATCCACCTTGCACAGAGCAATAGCCAGAAGCTGCAGTTAAATTACACTCTAAAAACTCTTGCCTATTAAAAAAGGTGGGGTTTAGCTCCTGGGATACATTAAACAGGTATGCAGTATTTCATTTCTAAATAGCATGTGAAATCTGACACACATCAATGAGCATAAAGGACTTTAATCCAAGAATTTGTGTGGTCTAAGTGAAATAAAATGGCTGCCTTTTCCCATCTTGAGTAGATGGGACAAAACCTACACATCCAGCTCCCAAAGCAAAGAGGTCAACAGCTCAATAAGCATGAAAACTGAATACTCATACACAGAGGCACCATTTCCAGAATAGGATGAAGCATATTGCAAGGTGGACCAGAGGAATGGGTGTGGATAATTAGGTGACTTGTTTCCAAACTGCCTTTAATAAAGTATAAAAACACAGAACAAAAATAAAAATCCCACCACCTCTGGTCCTAGCAGAACAGTACTGCTTCCTGATACATGCTAGATGAAGTGATGGTGATGAAAAGTCTTGGTATCCAGTCAACAGAAACCAAGTAAATCTTCGTTCCACTTTTCCAGCAGTTACAACACTAAGAATTTGAGATCTGAGCTATTAAGCAATTTTACAAACAAATCTTTATTTTTATTAAAGGTGTGTCCCTACATAAGCATTATTTAAAAGTTTACGTATCTTGATATCTGTCTTGTCATAAGACTAAGTATATATAAAGAGAAAGGTTAAAATGATTTTAAAATCAAGGGTCAAAATATTAATTACATACAGAGACACTGAAAACAATAGTGCTCCACTAATAATTCCTAGTGAAATCACAATAATTTGGAGAAGCACTGTGCTGAGTCTGTAAAAAAGCCACACAAAAAACCAGAGGAATTTTCAGAACTTTCTCCACTTTTTGTCTATTTGCTACATTTATTATTTCATCTAAATGTAAGATAGAGTTATTCCAAGTTAACATTAATGCAGCCAGGCATACAAAGAAAAGTTTGTGTTTGTTGCATCAATTTAAAAAAAAAATTAAGTTAATAAGGGCAAACTCTGTCCTCAGATATATCCATAGTCTCTGTGTTGCGAAAAAAAATTAAAATGCTGTTGTGGGGGGGGGGGGGGGGGGGAAGGCGGGGAGAACTTCCTCTGGTACAGTTCAGTATAGCTGTTAAAGGTAAATGCATGTTGGAAAAAGAAAAAGAAACAGCTGGATTAACACTTTTAATTTGGTAGTTATTTAATAAACTCAACATATCTGAACACAATTTTATTCAACACCAATTTTAAGTAAACAAAATACAATCTGGAGGGATACATTAGATCTTCATTAAAAACATACCAGATTGAAACGTCTTTCCTTTATGAGGTTCTGCAATTCATGATGTACAGCATCTCTGAGAAACTGATTGACTATATAATCTTAACTTTCATAACCCACTATGCAGAGAATTACTCCTGTGAATACTAAACACTTAACTCTTATTTAAGGTAGGAAAATCATTAGCGCAAATAAATATTTTTGTGCATATCTATTAGGGAATATTGAAATTTTTTTCTCTATTGATATACTTTTAGCGCCTTTAAAAAACAAAAAACAAAACAAAAACAAAAAACCCCCAAAATCTCGCCTTCCAGGGAGTCAGAGTGACCCACTGAATAAAGCATAGAGCTGAGAGGAGACATGAGTTCTATTCCTAGTTTTCTAACTTGCTGTGTAGCTCCTCTGTACCTCATCTGTTAAATGGAGATAACCAGACTTACCTATGTTTATACTGCACTTGATCTTCTAAAAATGAAAAATGATTCTAGAGACACCTAAATAAGGACCAGAACATTTTTTTCTTAAATTAAGTGTGTACATATCAAATATATTTAAGAAACCTCATAATCAGTTAGAATTGCCCATAAGGATGCAATTACATCAGCCACAACAAACACTACGCCTTTATATTTAAATACAAATGAGGTAATACCTCTGTGAAATCAATCGTAAAATTTTATTGTGTGTGTTTTAGTCATATATTGCACAAATTATTTTATCCAGGAAAAGTATATATAATATAGAGTAATGTGTGTATGAGTCACTTGAGTTATCAAGTTTAAACACAATGAGTAATACATTATACAAAACCACATACCTGTTAAAGCTGCTGGTTTGGATAGCGTACTGTACTGGTTCTGTGTAGATATTATACTTTGACGTGGACTTAGTGTTGGCGAAGAGACCAATGAAAGCTCCTCTATAATAATACTGCTTTTGGGATGGTTTTTAGGAAGTTCATTCAATCTTTGTTCTAACGAATACTTTAAGAGGTCCAACTTCTGGCTTGATTCATTAAATCTTGCTTGAGCCTTGTGTGATATAAATTAAAAAAAGATTTAGAACAATCCACATTCTTCAAACAGAGTTTAAAATCAAATTTCATAAACTACATTAAAAAGTTACTTCTGAAAGGGCTTTTCTGTCGGTAACTTTTCCGGAGCCAAGCAATTTCATCACGTTCTTTGCACCTTCCGCTACTGCATACTCTATCCTAAAATGATGTCGCAGTTCTTCCATTCGAAGCTCAAGAGGGCTTATCACAGGTTTTGCTACAAATAAACAAACATTAAATCTTCATTGAATACCATCTATTAGTTTTGTTCTTAATATTTAGCAATTAAAGAATTTTACAGCATAAGAAAAACAGATGTAGCATTGTTAAACTGGAAAAGAAAAGCAGATTATATCCACGTATGGTATAGAAACAACAATGAAATTCAAAGTTTTGCATTTAAATTATGTTCTGAGTTTGATAAACCCACTAGATTGATAAAGACCAAAGAACTAAACTTACTAACTAGGATATGAAAGACAGTGGTCCTCCCCAGGGAAATTAAGGAACAAAAACCCTCGCAAAGCCAAGTTTCCCACACAGCTCTACCTTCTGGAAAGAATACACTTAAGTTTTTCTTCAAGTTTTCTGCCTTTTAACCCAAATTGGAGGCTTCATTTTTCATATCAATCTCTTACAAGTTGATGTCTAATCTATTTGAAGCTCTAATTGTTGTCCTATTCCACACCATACCCTAAGTTTTCCAGCTGCTGCAAAAATGGGAGATGAGAGGTTTCACACCATGATGTTCCAAAACTGTTTTTGGTCAATAACTCTAGCGCCGTGGTCACCAACCAGTAGATCGTGAGCTACCAGTAGATTTCAAGGGCTCTAAGAGTAGCTCTTGAGCCCTCTCTGAACTGCGCGCCTGCGCAGTACATTTACATTAGATTTCCTCATTTGAGGAGCAGCTACTCACCGAGCAACAACACAGGTGAGTAGCTGCGAGGAATGGTGGGAGCTGGGAGGTCAGGAGGGCTGAAACACCCCAGCTAGCTGACTGTGTCTTTCACAGCTGGAGCTAGGCGCAGCCTCCCTGAGCTGAGCGCAGGGCAGCCGGGATAGAGGGAAAAGAAGCAGCTGCCCGGCCAGCTGGCCATGGTACTCAGCCAGGGTGCCACCAAGTTCCACATGGGCTGGCGCAGAGGGGAAGCTGCCTGGCCAGCTGGCTGTGGCGTTCAGCCCAGAGGAGGCTGAACTGCGCTCCAGCTGATTGGGCGGCTTCCCCTCTGCGCCTGCCCATGTGGAGTGTGGTGCTCCCTGGCTGAGCGCCATGGCCAGCTGGCCAGGCAGCCGCTTTTCTTCGCTCCAGCCCGGCTGCCCTGCGGGCCGTCCGGCGG